TTATTATTACCACTATTATGACTAACTGCACAATTTATATTCACCATCGTATTATCCTATAGACAAAACACCATGATTGGTTTATATATGAATTTTTATTTGTAAACTTATATATATTAGAGTTAAGCCTGATGAGATCTAATTGAAAACAATATTGTTCGCTTAAATGTGTTGTTCTAAATTTTACTATGGGAATATTTAATATTTTTATTTAAACACATAAAAAGCTTGGTACAATATGGCAAGAAAAGGATGCGCTACACAATAGTAATAAAACAACATAGATCAAAAGAAAAAATATATATAAGTAGAGAACGGATAAAGAACTTCATCTGGAGGAAAACATTCATGCTTAACAAGTTCAAACAGTGTTCGTTAACTATCATCGGGAAGGGATGAAAGAAGGAAATTGCAACACGTTCGCCAGCGATTACGATTCTTGGCCATATCCGATAACATTTCGAGGCGTCGATTTGAGCTATCTCTCAGACCCCAACCAGGGAGCCGTGACACACCAACCGATGCTAATTTAGCACAAATATCCTTCATCCCACGACGCCACATCGTCATGGACTGACCACCTCTCCGCCTTTTTCATCCCGTCCCAGGGCTGGCAGCGGACAGAGACCTGTACGGAAGCCTCTGGGGTGACATTCGTAGCACATGTCCAAGCCACCGGAGCCGGTGTTTCCAGATGACGACATTCAATTAGTGGTGATCTCCACTGTGTTCAAGCACACGCCGCGGAACCTCAGAATTACCCACGCGATGATGCCATCGAAAGCAAGCAATCCTGCGGAGGCGGCGGTGATCGAACACGCAGAGTCGCCGAACATCCTTAGCTTACTCGGAGAGGCCAGATTTCACAGGCGTAGAGCAGTGCAGCACGCACCGAAGGATTGTATATCCGACCTTTGACAGCCAGGCTAACGTCGCGACGGCGCCAGAGGTGGCTCAAGTTGATGTATGCGCCACCCTAGCCTCCATTATACGGTTGGAAATCTCATCCGTCACCCCTCCGCCAACACTCACACAACTACCCAGGTACACGAACTTATCAACAACTTCAAGCGGTTCACCTGCAGGTGTGCAGGTACAGACTCCTGACAATCTTGTAACAGTACTTTACACTTAGACGGCGCGAAGCACACCATACTTACAGACACTGGTCGCCAACTGATTAAGTGCGATTTGGGCAACCTGCATGCTATCGCACAGTAAGACGATATCGTCTGCATACTCGAGGTCGAGGTTGCGAACAGTGGTGATAGTTGGCTTCTGTATAGGGCTTTCAAGATGTTAACAAATTTCTCAGGTACACCTCTCTCTAACAGACAGTTCCAGAGCACAGTTCTGTCCAACGAATCGAAGGCAGCCCTAATATCAAGAAACACAACGATCGTTGGCCTGCAATACGTGTGGCGGTGTTCCAACAACTGACGAAGGGTGAACACATGATCAATGCATCCACGACCTGAACGAAACCCAGCCTGCTCTTCGCGAATCAATCCTTCACGTATTTTGCACAGTCTGCGAAGCAAGACAGCAGCCAATATTTTAGACGCGACTGGTAACAGACTGATACCCCTATGATTGTCACACGAATTACGTCGACCCTTTTTAAAGATGGGGACGATAATGGCTTCGTTCCACATTGATGGTACACTCTCTGTCTCCCACACCTTCCTGAACAACCCAGTTAGAGCCATTGTGAGAGTCTCGCCACCATCTTTAAAAAGAGCCGGGGGTAATTTGTCTGGGCCGGGCGCCTTATGGCGTTTCAGAACTTGGAGTTCCTTACGGACCTCCGCTTCGGTGGGTGGGTCGGTACTAACCGACCAAGGAGCACTCGGGCTAATGATAGTAGACACTGAAGCTGGTGGCCAGCTGAACTGCTTCCCGAAGTGCTCTGCCCAGCGTTCCAGGCGTCTTTTCAGGCTGGTAATTGGAGTGCCATCTGCCTCACAGACCGTCTCGCTGACACCTTGTTTCTTGCCCGGTGGCTCGTATGAGTTGGAACAGCTTCCGACTGTTGCCAGATGCAGCAGCTGACTCCATCTCACACGCACGTTCTGACCACCAGGCTTCGCGGTCCTTACGTAAACACTGTCTAATCTTGCGCGTGAGCGCCTTTCGCTGATTGTTGTATTCGCTGCCAGCCGGAATGGACCGGCGTTCATCCATGAGTTGCAAGGAACTCGCAGAAACCCAGTGGTTGTTAGCGGAGCATTCTTTCAAGCCGCAAGCGGCTACACTCGCCTTTTGCATGGCACCTTGCACATGAAGCCAATGTTCATCTATACTACTTGGGGGGTTGCTGGCAAGCATTGTTTTTAACTCATTCTGATATTTCAAAGAAGTAGCAGGTGCTACTAGTTTGCTCACATCAACGCTTAGACGACGGCTTTTACGAACCCCACCAAATCGCAAGACGAACTTGGCACACACTAACGCATGATCGGAGTCCAGGCATGTGCTCCAGAAGGAGCGACAGTCTTGTATGCATCCTCGCCACCGGAAACTGACCGCAATATGATCAATCTGAGTCCAAGCTTGCTTCGCAGAGGGAGGACGCCAGGTAGCGCTACGGCGATGGCTGTGCCGGAAGTTGGTGCTGGCTAGAAATAGGTTGTGATCCGCGCAAAGCTGCAGAAGACGGTCCCCATTATCTGACCTGCGACCATGTAGTCCCCACTGACCACCTAGACGATTCTCCTCTGAGCTTAGACGCCCGACCTGTGCATTCAAGTCCCCAGCCAGCACTACGATATCCCTCCGACCCGCCTGTTTCAAGAGATCGCTCAGTTGGTAGTAAAACTCATCCTTCATTGCATCCGGGCTGCAATCCGTCGGTGCATAGGCAGAGACAACAAATAGACACCGCCTATCTGGCCTACTACTCCTTACTTTCGTATAACCTTCCAGCCTCACAGCACATAAACGACTGTTAATGGGAATCCAGTCGAGCAGTGCAGCTTCGGCTCTAGCGCTCAGTGCGACACCGACACCAGCTACGCCGGATGCCGACGCCACAGGGTCCCCGGATAAGCGCAGGTGGTACATACTACTAGAACTTCCAGATGGAGAGGATAGTCGAAGCACTTCACTGGGATCTTGAATGCGGGTCTCCGAAATGCAGCAGACATCGATAGCGAGGCTTTCCAAAGTTCTTGCCAACCCTGCCTGTTGTCCGATTTGCATCAGCGTCCGAACATTGTAGGTAGCCAGCTTGAACGCGGCACGCGGTTTCAGGATATCTGTGTTAGATGTCACATTGGGAACAACCATTTTGAGGACTACTCACTAACATCTCGAAACGACACGGATAGGCTGGGAATCTCGACAAAGGCGAAAGGCTGTCGAAGGTTAAGAAGCCAAGGTTAGCAAAGGTCAAATACAGGAAACTATGTATAAAAATAAAAGTAAGGTAGGAAGGAAATAAGTTGCTTGAGGGATCATTATTGCTTGAAATCATTTTTACTAGCGCGCGTTGAGTTTCAGTGAGAGTTCGTTGCTTTAATTCATTCATTGTGTGCGGGCTGAGATACTGCCCGGGCGCCCAGACCGAAGCAGGTGGTTTTATTAAGGGACCACCCCCGAGCCTTTGACTTGGAGTCTAATCCGCAAGGCAGCGGAGCAGCGTCAGGAGCTGCATTCCCATGGTTTCCGGTGACCCATATGGGTTCATACGCCATTTGATCCGATTGGAAACTGGAGCCCATGTACCCCATGGTAACTGCTTTTAGTTTAACCGCTATCCAGAAAACCTTCCTGACATGGTAGGACCTGTAGAGACAGAGTCCCAGTCATTTGAGCTTGTTGGGTCATTGCGGTATTCAAGCCCGACCACCACGACAAGGTAGTAATTATCGGCCACTGAGAGTGGGAGACATGAAAAGATTAGCTGTCTTTGATCATAGGTGCCTGTGTTCTATTTCCCGTGTGAAGTGGTATAATAAGGTGAGCAATATTGAGCTTAGGCTTCGGTCGACTGCTAGGTAAGGAGGGGAAATCAATCGACAAAGTTGTGAAGTTACATCGACTGAGACAGGACATATGTTACGTATGCCAAGTCATCGCCTTCCTCGACAATGGGCAATGTTAGCTGATATAGGACCAGGCTGGAAAAGAGCTAGCGGAGGTCAAACCAAAACATGGCACCAGTCAATGAAATCCACAACAGTTAGTCTAAGCCACGTAGATAGGTGTAGACTTCCTGGCTGGGGTCCTCGGGATGGTAAAAACCAATGGTTAGAGACAAATGTTGATATGGCCCAAAATCGTCCTCAATGGCTGGCGCAGATGCATCCACTCCTTGTGATTTATGATTTCCAATGGAACTGTTTTGTTCTTCGTTACTACTATTCATTTGTCTCACACCTCTGCTCACTGTCTCTATTATGCTTTTCTTGTACTTTCTCTTGCTTTGTGTGCCACATAGAGTGTGGCTACTTGAACTGCCGCACATTTGTGCAAAGTTCTATGTCGAAAACAGACAGACCTGTCTTCTCTATGTGGCCGCATACGGCAAATTGTTGGTTTTCGTTTGTGAGGTAACAATCATCTGTGAAATCATGATATTCTATAGTCTCTTTGTCTATCCAACTTATACTCGTCTTCCCACTCCTCATGTCCGACCAGTGGGTCATGGATCCGCAACCCGCTTCACCGACCGAGGTTTTGCTAGTCACTTATTTATGAGTTCACCTGCTGATGAGTTGGCATTTTTCTCATCAACTAATCATCCTCTACGATTCTAGCAGTGACTTCTTAATTATTAATAACATGAGTGTCGTTCTTGTGGACCTGGTAGCTTGAAATGATGCTCATTTATGTAAAATTGTATGTTGACACTTTACTTATTCAATAGCAGCAAACTTTTTTTTCATGAAATATCAAATTTAATCTACCTTAGTTTTTAATAGTCATCTTTGTAACTCACTAGTTATTGCGAGCATACATGTATGTCTTACCTATGTTCACTGTTCATCCTTTTATAGATGTTATGAGACGTACTATCACACTTATAAAGTCCAATAATCGGAAGGCACAAGGTGGGGAAGAATACATCACAACTAGTGACTCAAAAGAGGCGACTACATCTACTCGTCGAATAACCCGAGCTCGGCGTCTACCAGCGTGGTATAAAGATTATGATACCGACTTCGTATTACACGATGAAAGTACAATAGAAAAGGAGGAAGTACAAGCTCAACTACCACCAGGTATCGAACTAGAAGATCCGTCTACAATGGACAAAGCTGACATCCCAACTGAAGAGTGGAATATTGTTGTATATGACGATGATGATGATGATGATGAGGAGGAGGAGGAGGAGGAAGAGGAGCAGGAGGATGAAGATGAAGATAGTCCGTTAGATTATGAAGATGAAGATGTCAATGTTTTGAATGAGAGTACCGCTGACGTTATGTTGGATGAGGATACTTTCTCATGAATGAAGAGTACTGAGCATGTACAGAAACGATTACAGTATTATTATTCGTCTTTTAAGATACATATGTACAGTCCCTGGATCATATTTCACTTCAGTGTATAAAAGGAATTTGTGTCATTTATTAAAATACTTAGTGTTATTATTTCATAAAGCTATTATAATCTATCACGGTTTTCTCCAGAATATTCACTTCCTGTATTTTTCTGTGTAAAATGCATTCACCATGTTTTGCATTTAGTTTTTTCATCTCACAACAGCTGACAAAATGCTTATGCAATACTTTGATCTTTATAACGTCTTATAGGCTTGCCATCTGCTCCATGTGCTACTTGTGTTCATTGAATAAATTGGCAGCATTTCTACCATATTTTTAAAAGCTTAGTAGTTTGTTTTACTGCAGTTCAAAATGTCGTTAGTTGTTTGGTTCCTTAATCCTGCGTTACTGTGTGAGATATTTAAATACTTGAGTCGTGCATTCGCACAAGTTGGTAATAACCTAATCTAGTCCATCATAGTACTTCATTGTTTTCTCCGTATCTGCTCAAATGTTAATGCTTAAGTAGATGACAGTCGTCCGTACGTTCGTGGTAAACTATTTTTGAAAAGTTTTTACATTCTATCCAAAAAAGACTTGTCAAAAGCTGTTAATCCCCGCAGTAAAGCAATATTTAAAAATCAGGATATGAGGTCGTTTGTATCGTTGTGTAGTAAGTTATTTGGATAGTATGTTAATTCAGGCAAATAAGAACAAGTAACAACGAAGCTAATGTTTGCGAAGTGCAGAAACGTCGAAATCTAGACTAACAAATTCTTATGAACTAAGACATAGATAATGAAGAAAAAGCGGTTAGTTTTGACATTGTCAGTTTATATACACGTATACTAATAAATATGGCTATGGAGGCAGTCAGAAATTAACCCATTTCTTACCAAGAACGAGATTGCCACTCGGGAACATAATGCTGTGAGTGCAGCTATGTCTGACTTCCACAGCATTTAAATTCCAAGGGAGAATATGCAAACAAACCGAGAGATTTGCCATGGAATTACTAATATCCCCAGTTGTAGCAGTTATATTCATGGATAGGTGGGAAAGCATAGCGACTGAAACGTTCAGCCCCACCCCAAAAGTATGGTGGAGGTATGTGATGACAAGTTTACTGTACTTAGAACACAAGATATAGGTAGATTTTTCAAACACATTAACTCAAAGGTGGAGGCAATTTAATTTACTTGTGAATTGGAAAGTCAGGAAGGGGAGCTCCCAATGTTAGATTGCAGCGTAAAAAGGAAAGAAGATGGGAAGTTAAGCACTAGTGTTTACAGGAAACCTACACATTTAAACAGATATTTGGACTTCCGATCATCCTATCCTATGTCAGTATAAGTAGGATTAGTGAAATGTTCAGGTGACAGCACAAAATCAATGTAGTACCAAGGAAAGAAGACAGGAAATGATACATATAAGAGAAGCCTTGAAACTTGATAATTACCCTGATAAATTAGTCAGGAAATATGTAGGGAAATGTAAAAATAAATAATGACAGTAGTGATAGTGACGACCTACATGTCAAACATGCACAAGATAATCACAACACCAACAATAAGGGATCTAAATCATCAGTAGTAATTCCATACAAGGAAGGGACATCGGGAACCTTACGCAGAATTCTTAACAAGGCAGGAATAAAGGTGGCATTCAGACCTACAAAATCAATTAGAAACAAGCTTTTTCGGTTAAAGGATCTTGTGGAGCCGTTAAAACAAAACAATTTAGTTTATCTAATACTCTGCAATGATTGTCAGGTCAAACTAGTAGAACAGGGGCAGTCAGACTAGCCGAACATAAAAACCTGGCAAAATCTAGATTGGTTGACCCAAATAAGATAAATCTAGCGAATAGTTCAGCTTATCACTACATGCGGTTACACAACCATACAATAGGATGACAGTTTTAAAATCTAATGTCACAGGTGGGGGGAGAGATTGATAACAGAAGCTTTGTTTATCAAATAAACTGCAAATACATGTACTAAGAATGATTCAACACCTGTCCCAGATATCTGGAAAATTCTACTTCCCCTACGACAAATAGGAGAGGACAAAGGGAACTATTAAACTCAAGTTTCGAATTCGTGTGATTATAACTGATATGTTTATGAACAATAAATTTGGTTTGAAACGTCATCCAGTAAATAATACTGTTTCACTGTGTGATACATTTAATAAACAAACTAATAGTGAAGTGCAGAAAATAAGTTAAATTCCCTGGTCCAAACACGACATAAAGCCATAGTTGAAGAATGTTTTCCTATTATCTGTTGGATACCAAATAAATTCCCGTTGGAATCCACTGAATAACTAGAACTCCGTGTGCAAAAGAAACAGGTCCAGCCACTATTACTACCCTGGCCTGGTTCACAAATCCTGTGTTATTTTCCTTAGTGGATTATTGTTACTCCAACGTCAGTCTTACTTTTTACTAATTTGATTGAGGCATTACTATGTAGCTTCACAAGTTGTGATAGTACATATCAGTGTATTTCAAATACAATGGCAGGAAGTCGTGTAGGCTTTTAATTCCATAGGAATAAGGCGAATCATAACACTTTCTGGACGTGGAACACATTGTTAATCGTAAGTCATTTGATTCTTGACTTTTGAAGTTGGTCTCTATGTGGAAAGGGTTTTCATAGGTGGGTGTTCAGTCGACAAAATTCGTGAGCAAAACTGTTGGGAATTTGAGTATTGTTTGTACAGATTTAAATGGTTCCTGGTGGCAGTTTCACACTACCGATAAGAATCTTGTTACACCTTCCATAAACATCATGTGAACTTTAACTGATGTTCTTTTTGAAAAGAGCTTGGTTAATGTATTCTCTTAGGCGTCCATAGTCATTGGAAGACTAAGTTTAGCTCGGAAAAAATAAATTTGTGAAGACCAAGAATATTTCAGGACCAAATGAGGGTGCAGTAGTTATGTCCTCTTACTGCGTCCGTTTATGAAACTCAGATGTCACCACTGCCCATATTTTATGAGCAGAGAGTGACACTTGGCTCTTGATAGAGAGATTTTGCAATATCTCCTTGCGAAATAGGTGCTGAGCATGTAGGTTGCGCCAAACGGGTCATTCGATTGCAAATTAATCAACCGTGTAGAAATCTACGGAGTTGTTGTACACTGTCATTCAGAAGTAACCGGTGGTTTCGTTGTTATTTGGTTTGAGGATGAATGTACCAAATAAAATGATTATGTTTAGTCCCAACCTTTTAGGTATTTCCTTACACCTAATTCCCCTTGTGAATTTGAATAAAACAAGAGCAACATTATTTGAAGAATAATATGGTACCATCATTTATTTCGTTGGCTTCTTTTCATCTGCTTACAGCCTAAATAAATTAAGTTTATGTGCAGTTTAAACATGCAATTTTTACCTGATGTCAGTTGACAAGAGGTTCCGGAATTAGTCAACAGTGGTCAAAAAATTACACTTATGTAGTTTTACATAGGTAGTTCGAGTTTAAACAAAGTAAGTGTATGCATACAATGGCAAAGGAGTTACCTAATAAAGATGAGAGGTACGTAAGATGATGAGTGACTAATTAGTTAACAATGTACTGAGTTAAACTCAAATCATAGAAACAGGAGACTAGCAAAACTACATCACATCAGAAGGGGGAGGTGAGGTTAAAGTTAGGGTTTACGTAATTAAATGGAAGAGAAAATAAAGGCATCCAGTTACCAGGGTAGGGGAAGATCGATAACTGCTTCTTTCTGAGCAACTAAATGGAGTTTGAGGGGTTCGATAGAGATTGTTGCGGCAAACTTGAGGAGAATTGAGCTTTTTTGTCTGTTGATAATTTCAAAGGATTTTTCGACTTCCACCTCATGATCTGTATCAAGCAGGTACCTGATAATGGCACTATTGTAAGCGTTTGTTCCCTTGAGACATAGGCTTTTCGGTACATGTTCAGACAACCGGAGATGTGTTCTTCTTTCTGTTCTTCAAGTGTAACTGCTCTCACAGAAACACGTAAATCTGTACACACAGTTGGAGTTAACAATGAAAAGAGTGCCTGTTGACTTTTGACTGCACCAAAGAGCATGTTGTCCGATAGACAGAAACTAACTTCGCTGCCAGAAAGGCTCTGGCTAGTGACGCACTCAATCTTCCATTGACTATTGCTACAATATTTTCAATTTTAGAATCGAGTTGAATGAAGACAAGCTTTTTTCCACTGTGATTTGCTTGATTTTTGAGACTTCACATCTATATTTGTTAATGAATCTTTCAGGGCAACCGTTGTTTTTCAGCATTTTTTCGAGAATCATAAATTATTCCTCTGATTTCTCTGCAGAGCATATTCTTCTACCTCTATATTATAGAGTCTTGACTAATGTACGTTTAAAGCTAATTGGACAAAAACTATTAAAATGTAGGTATTATCCATTCCATATAGGCTTTCGGTAAATTGATCTAAGGAGACTACCATCTTTTAGGCGTTGTATAGCAATCTCAAGGAAATGGAACTTTCCATGATTTTCATGTTCCATATTAAATTCAATATTTGTATGTGCGTCACTGATTAATCCTATCTACTCAGATGCTACCATATTATTCTGCAAAAGCTGTTGTTCCTGCTTTCATAAAACTCTTAGGTGATGGTGTGCAACTGAGAGAACATGTAGTTAACAGACATTGCATTTGTCAACATGCTATAAGATGCCTTTTGTGAAATGTTTGAAGATCTTTTATAGTGGTGTAGATATATTCACTCTTCGTCGTGTGTAGCGGACTTATACAAGAGTTCACTAACTTTACAAATATAAGAATAATAATCCAAGTCAATAGAGTGTTAAATAACAATATATTACCAAAAATGCAGTGACGAGTTGTATCAACAAAAAGGATTACTTGGATATAAAGTCTAAGTCCTCTGCTACAAATTATTTATATAATCCACGGGTACGTTAATTGTTTGGGTTGCGCCTGCTGTGTTCCGGTTGTAGAAATGTCTTAGGTTGAGAGTAGTAGACTATTACAATAAATCCGAAGTATACAACACGGTGTGAGTTGAGCAAGTAAGCAGAAATAACCCGGGAGAAGACGAAGTCTCCAAAAGCAGAGTGTATTTTTCAATTGTACACGGAAGTTATGTATATTTCAACAAGAAGCGTTTTAAACAAAAATTATGTACAATATCTCTAATTTCTACAAATAACCAAAAAGTGTACAATCACATTGTTACGTACTCCACACGTGTACCAAATTCTTTTAGTACTAATGCTTGGCAATTAGCGTTACTCTCTCTGTTTTATTTTTATAGAAAAGCTTTGAGTGCTGATACAAGTATGTGGGCGGTTATCATT